TGTGGTTCTTCCTTCATTGAGATTTTGGTTGGAAACTCAATGTGGCCTCAGGAAAAGCCATTTTTAACTTTACTACCATCAGCCATGCTGATGACCCCAGCTGAGTGTAAACACTGGACTAAGACACACACTGTTAGAATGTTTAATCACAGTATGTATCACAGTGGATCACATTGTACTGAATGTTATCACACTGGAATATATTTAATAACATAATATGCAACTATTACAGTCTATAGTCTGTATCATTTTACACTACTACCTATGTCGGTGTAATAATCATAATAAATTAATATATAGTAAAAATAAGTTAACAGCATAAATTCTTACAGCATGGATAATGCCAACTAGAAGAAATTATGCTGTTAGTTAATGGTGTAAAATCTTATAGTATGTATATTTTCAGGGTAAAAAAAATTACAAATGAATAAAGGGGGTAAGTTTCTAAAGAAACTGTGGTGCTGCATCAGTGGGAGAGTATAGCAGGTAACTTACTGCTAACAACTGAGTTGAAAATGTAAATTGGCTACCGTAAAGAGTGAAAAAGCTGGTGTTTCAAGTGTTAGCCCTTCGTCATCCCTCTGACGAAGGGCTAACTGACTCTTTTCCATGGGAAAATGTACCCTATAGTTAATGAAGTCTAAATAAAATATTTACAAATAAAGTTAAACTTTAAAATGCCCAATGAAATTGAAACATTAGATATATATATATATTTAACTTGGTTGTGTTGCTCTCTTTTCATTGATGGTAAATATTTCTAATTCAGATTCCTTTTCCAAGCAAGCCCTAGGAAGTCAGTGGGATCGCATAAGAGTTACCTGTCGACAACCTTTCAGGTCAGACAAGCAATTTGGGCTGTCATTCATAAGGGTGGCTTCAGTTGAGAGTGACCCTGTATCAGTCCCTCCTGCAGGAGTATCTGGTACAACAGCCACCTTAGGGCAAACTTCACATGATGTAAATGATGATGATGGTATTGTGCGATTGAAAAAGGCATCGGGCCTCATGGGTTGCCTTAGGTAAGAAGCAATTGTTATTGGCAAATAATCTCAGTCAGTGCCTGAACATGCCATTGTGTTCTTTCCAACAAAGAAACAAGAAAAGATTAGTAAAAACCTTTTTTTGTAAATTAATTTTTTAGGAGTTTTGAGAAAGGAAGCCCTGAAAGTCCACTGAACAGAGCAGGAAAGATGTTACAGGCTGCTCTAGACAGCAGATCTCCCATAACTCCAAGGATCAAACCTGGGAACAAAAGGTCATCACCTGAAATTGCATCCAGTCCTGAAAGTCCTTACAAGAAAAGAAACTGGCACTCACCCAGTAATGGTAAGTCTGCTTGTTTAGACAAAGTTAGAGGCCATACAACCATTGTTACCAATAACTAGCATTAGCTAGACCTAAAGTCTAAGATTACAGTAGAACCCTGTTGACTTGAACTCCCAAGAGAAGCAGAAAAATGGTTTGAATTAGCATGGGTTCAAGTTTGTTTGATAGTAAATGACTGAAAAAAATGGATTGAGGGAAATCAGATCTTGTTCCAGTTACTGAAAGGTTTGGGTTAGCAGGCTACTACTGTATATTTGAACCACAATTACCACACTTATCAGTGACACATGGTGATATAACCACTACTTCATACACACAGATTATAGGGACTAGTACAAAAAAAAAAACAGAAAAAGGTACGAGACGTAAATTAAGCTACTAAAACACAATGCAAAAACCTTTCCAAAGGTGGTAAGATGTTTTGTTATACGCACAAAGTTATGGATTACAGAGGGAATCTGAGTACACTGGAGCCCCACCAAACAATCTCCCCCTGACTGGAAACTTTATAATTGTTTCCTAATGATATTCTAGAATCTTCTTTAAATCAGAACCTGGCCCCGTCATCATGACTGACCCAACAACACTTTGCATTGGTATCCCAGTTACTCTCTGCAGAACTTGACATTGCCTCTTCCCTCTCATTGATATCTATGTTGAATAAAAACTTCTCACACCAGAAATTATTCTCCATTACAGAAACAAATTTAAAGAAGAAAAAGCAAGAGAAGACATGGAGCCTTGCTGGGGATGTAAGAATAGCATTTCAATCTGTTCTTTTTGTGCTTAAAAAAAACCCTTCTATTTCACTTGCCATAATTTCAGGAATGTTTCCAATCCAACCATTCAAGTTAAATTTACTCTTCAGTTGACAGTTAAAGAACAATTTTTGGAGAAATACATAATTATATATATATATATATATATATATATATTTTTTTTTTTTTTTAATTTTAATTTTTTTCTTTTAATGTTTTTAGATACGTGATGAAGTGGAACTATTTCTTGAGGATATTGACTTTACAAAAATTGATCTTGGAAGTGTTACATTTAAAGGTAATCAATTTTATCTTCAGTTGTATTCAATGAAAATTTAGTAGGATACCTTCAAACAAGACTCTAACTTTTGGCTCAAAACTTAATGACCAGCGTCTCTCACTGGTTTCATGCTATGAATATTAACCCTTTAACTCCCAGGATCTGATTGTTAATTCTCCCCTCCATCTGCTCCACATCCCCTTGTAAATTTGTTGCAACAATTTTGTGTTAGATCAAGATAACAACTTCTACCTGATTCATTCGAGTATTCTCAATACCTGTTTGCTGGATAGTGGATGGATATTGTAAGGGGAAGTTACGTGTGAATCACTTCTTGGAGTTGAAGGGTTAAATAGACATGTTTTTATGTCCTTTAACAGTTTGTTAGCATATGGAGAAATGCACAAAGTTTCCTGTTGGAGTTTTAGCCTCTTTCACTTGACTAGACCAGGATGGTAAACATTATCTCCATTTTATCTTCATCTTGTAAACTACAGCTTTCTCTTTTTGCAAGACATATATTAGTATTTTTGTATGTATTCCAAAATTTTACAATTTATCTATCATAAGCTTAATTGTCTTAATAGTTTTTTGCTTCAGCTACTAGCACTTATTTATTTGTAGAGGGTTCATAAACTCTATTGATAAGCATGACACGACTGTATGTCAAGTACTTTGTGTTTCATTGTCTATTTCAATGTTTTTTTTTTTTCTTTCACCCAGACTTGAGAAGCCAAATGGAGGCACAGAGGGGTTGTTCTCTCACCAGCCTAGAGAAGAAAGTTTTTCTTCAGGTAACCTCTGACCAGACAACTGACAAAATTAGTTATAAATGTTAATAAATGGTGAGATTTTGTTTGAATTTTCTCTTAATATCCAAAGTATTTTCTTTTTCACAGATGACAAAGGCTGCCATTGATAAATTACAGCCAGCTGCTGAGGACAGTGATAGTGATCTAGAGGTAATCTACACTGTGTGCACCTTCATGCCTGTTTATAGTAATAAAATTAGGACTGCTACTCTCCTAATGAATTAACAGAAAGAGATCTCCGCTTTAAGTTCATTTTTTGTGATGGCTAGTGATTCTTAATTTTCAGGATGTTCTGGAATTGTCCACAAACAAATGTGATACAAGTCCAAGTCTTCAAATGGGCAAAAATCCTAGCAGAGCAAAGAAACAGCTCAGAGAGAGGTTAGTTATTCAGTAAGAACCATCTAAGTAATGCATTCCAATAATGATATATCTAAATCCTCCTTGAGCTTCTTTAAGTGGAATTTTAACAAACAAAAGGTCTGGTTGAGAGAGGCAGATGCACAATTAGCATTAGCAGGCCCTGCTATTGTTACAAATGTTACTTTTCGTTGTTTGTTTGTTTGGATGACTTCATACAGGGACTTGTTTGGGAAGAACTGTTACATTGTGACTGCTCATAATACAATCTTTGCTTGAAGTTTTAGTAATGCAACATCTGCTTCAGAAGAGAAACCCTCTGCAACTATGAACCAAAATCAATCACCAGATTTGACATCAACTGTATCTATGCCTGAAAACAAAACTCATAGAAGTAGGAAGAAGCCAATTCTTTCTGTTGACATATTTGAGGAGGACATCCCATCATCTTCATCAAGGTTTCTTGAGGATGACACAGAAGAACTCCCTTCTATGTTAGATTCTTCTGCTAATAAGCCAGCAAAAGAAGAGCTTTTCCACTGTGGCAACTATGAATTGTCACCATCACCTGCCAAGAAAGCATCATCAATATCTTTAGTGGAATGCCCAATCTGCAGCATGTTCTTCCCATTAACAAAGATTGAAATTCATGCTGCTTTGTGCAATAATAAAACAGATGTTTCTCAAACTAACACTACCCTTGAAGATGACCATATTCCATGTCCAATATGTTCTAAGTTGTTTCCACTGGCTTGGATTGAACAACATGCTGATATTTGTGTGGAAACAAGCAGAAGCAATGATAGCAATAACATGGGGAGAGAAGTAATTACTACTCAAGGGATTTTATTATGAGTTAATAGATAGATATATCTATTTTTATTATGATAGAAATTTGTTTGCACATGAAACATTGACATATATTTCATGGTTGATTAGAGAAATATTAATTTCCTTTCATAGATCAATACATTTTGTGTCTAAAATACTTTTTTCGAGTTTGATTTAGACAGATGATCTTTGAAACCTGCCTAGAGTAAGAGTAAAGTGAATGTTGTTTCCTAATACTGTTTTGTTGTGTTCAGTAAGGAAATTTAAAGTCAGTTTGCTCTCAGTGAGAACAGTCATTTAACTAAAGCAGTTTATAAATTATGATCCCTGGAAAATGTGACTTGTAATGAAAGTTTTTAGCTTTAAAATACTGTAAAGGTACAATTTTTTCTTTGAGTGCATGCTGACACAGACAGACAGTAGTACTACATGTACACACGTTACAACCCTGAGTGTAAAATATCTTCAGTTACTGATTTATAAGAAATAATATTAAAATTAGATACATGGCAGTTTCATATAAGCCACAAATAGGACTGTGTCTATTTTGTCTACGAACTGGTGGTCTTTTTCAATAGATTCTTAAACATCCTAATCTGTGTTATTTACCCTTAATCACTTTTATTAATCTTAGATAAACATGTGTATACATTTCTTCTGTACTGGTTGGAATGTCCACATTTCCATTGTGTGAGTAGGCATGTCTTTACTCAAAGTGTTTCACTTTATACTTGTACTGCCTTATCATAGTGCAGTAAAAACAGATTGAAAGAGTAAATGCTAATATCAGTGCTCTCCATACTTACCCAAACCTTGATAAAAGGAAAAGGGGACATGCATTCGTAATTTAAGGACTGAATAAGTTTGTGGCAATTAATATGCACCTGCAACACCCAGCTACACTACCACATTAGAATGCAGTGTGACAAGCCTTTAATGATGCAAACAGTTGTCAACATAAATACAAGATATAAAATCAGGATCAATATGGTTCTGTTAAGCCAGCCTAAGTTTTCAATGTTTAAACTTTCAACTTTCTTAGATACAGCTGTCAGGTTTGATGAAGCAAGACATTGATGAAAACAGGTAGAAAATGTAATTTTTATGTAATTTTGCAAAACCTAATATACTGGTATCTATAAGTTCAAGATTAAAAGTTGCTAACATGTAAATACATGGTTCAAAATTCAAGTCCATCCAGGACAGACTGTGGTATATCCACCTCAAGTGTTGGTTCCCAGAAGTCTATGGGTAAAAAGCTGTCTGAGGGAATCAATTCATCTTTGTTGATAGGCATTACTTGGCAGTCAGTGAGAAGCTTAGCTACATTGTCCCAGCTGGTCATTAGACCACTCTTCCTGCTTGTCTTCTGTTGACAACTGGAAAGTAATTCCCTAGAGGTAAAATTTAATCAGAGTTTATGCGAACTAAATATTCTTGAAAAAAGGATTCAACAAAATGAGGTTATGATGCAAAATAATTTAAAACTCGTACAGACATTGAAGTGAAGAAGTGTCAGTGGTTTCCTAAACTGCTCAAAAAAGTCCCATGTTTTTAATTAAATATGTTATTATAATGAAATTGATTGTTTAATATTTTTCATAGCCTGGTAGGCACATTCTTTTTTCCCTGAAATACAACTTTGATGCATAGAAATTGCACAAAGCACATTACAAGTATGGTTTTACTTTTAAAAAATAGTCTCCAGTTCAAAAAGATTATTGTAAACACTTGGAATCATTATGCAAAGCTCTTCCTTGGGATATGAGAGTAATTACTATTAACACCATCTTGCAATCCCCAAAATATTGCTTGTAAAATTAAAAAAAACAACTGAATATTATAAAGGTGTAATAAGTACACAAGAGAGAAAACAGTCTAGAGTACCTTGTCATTGTGGCCTGTTTTTCTTTGTTCCCACAAGTGTCTGCAAAGTTAGAGGCAAAGACAGCAAGCATGAAACTAAAAAAATACTAAAAAAAGACATTTTTATGTAGCTGGAAATGATTATGTAGGTGTACTGGTACCTTTTTCTTTGGATGGTATTGTGAATAATGCAAGAGGCTTGCCTTTATAATGGACCTGTAAAGAAACAACAAAAAATTTGGGTCACCACTCAGTAGAAGTAGATGTTATATAATTTTGTAGATACATTTTAAATTTTATCACAACATCATTATTTTTATCATCGATAGAGCCATTGTCATTTGTGTTAGTACTAAAGTACATTTGCCACTTGCTTTAATTTGTTTTAACCTGACATTTGTTTATCAAATTGTAAGTACATCTTTGCATCGTTAATTAGAAATTCCAGTCACTGTGTTGGTTTAATCATAATTTTATATCTATTTACCATCTTGTATGCATGAGATTGCTTAATAGTATTCCAACTTCCTGTCACTGCCCTCATCCAAGCCATAGGAGTGCGAAATGTCTCTCCACCTGCAGACTCTATTAAGCCATTTGACCTCAGAGAAGCCTCAAAATTCCTTCCCTGTGGGGTAAATATGACAGAATAACTGACATTGAAAAAGGATTCAGCAGCAAGTTTTGAAGCTATATCCACATCACTGGGTAAATCATGAATGCATTCAAATACAACCCTTTACACCCAAACATCAGAATGCATATTCTCCTTGCTGTTCTCTATGCATTTCCTAAAATGCTGACAACTAGAATAGAGCTTCTCTAGTTGATTATCATTTCCTTTATTTTTACAATGTAAATGTGTGACTCAAGGATGATACTGTAACAAGAAATTAAATACTAGTCACTCTTATGGTCAAGGGGTTCACTTTACCAACTCACAACTGTTGTGATGAGATTAAATCACCCCAAAATTTGAAAACTATGCTTAAGATATATAATCTTTTTCTTCCATTTTTAACATTTTATTTTCATCTGAACATTAAGTCTACAATTTATCTGCAAAGAAATAAGATGGTCTGAGATTCAAATCTTATGATTTTATCCTAAGCTTAAAGTTTCTGGAAGTTATGGCAGAATGTTGGTCATACAAAATGTTGAGAAATTGAGTATTGCTGAGCAGTATTGGGCTGGATAAAATATGACTCAATTTTTTTCAACAAGGTGCATGGAAGATAGATTATATGCTTTTGTTTTAACTGGTAATAACGACAATAAATATCCACCTCGTGTTGTATTGAAAGGACATTCATGCCTGCTTCAATAACATTGTGGCTAAGAAGGCTTTTTATGTCAGGAAGGTCTGAGCCAAATGAACCTTTTCTTTGTAAACCTGAACTCCTTCTCAACAGCGCTGACTGCAAAAGAATTGTTATGCTCAACTGAATATTTGCCCATCATTTCAGTGGTAAATTTGTTTAGAGGATCTTAAATTCCAGAGGGAACTAATTAATACTATGTGATGGCAGGAAAATTACCTGAATTCAAAGCACATAGTAAAATCCTGTTTATTAATCCCCTTTCCAAAGCTAATTCACTGACAAAACAAGCAGAATTTGTAACAGTATTTATAAGATTTCATACACCTTTATTTCACCACAAATTTTTTATTGGTGTAGTAACCCCAATTAAAATTTCCCTAATTGTGAACAAGTTTAATGCATATAAAGTAGACAGTACCTGTGTGACCTAAACTAGTTGAGATTTTTAGTGATACTCACTGGTCCTTTCAATGGAGTAGAAGTTGTTTTAGTGGCTTGTAATTTACTTGGTACTGCAGAAGTAATCTGGGAGGGTATGTTGACTGATGATTTGGCCCAGGCTCTTGGTTGAAGCTCCGATACTGTCATGGAGTTCATACTTGACACTTGGGAAGGAGTGGTTTTTTGGCCTGCATGGGTTGCTTGTTTAAGCACTTGACTACTATTTTCACTGCTAGGCATAAGTGAGCTTTGCAAGGTTGAACTGGTACTTGGATAACTCATTGGTTGCAACGAAACAGACGAACTTAATACAGGAGTATCGACACTGGACACCAAGGAAGACACCATAGGTATTCCACTGAGCCAAATACAGCTTGTCCCTGATTGTGCATCAGAAACATTTGCTGTGGTGAGCCTTGTTTCTGTTGCTGATGCAGAGTTCTTTGTATTGGAAGACAGCCTTGCTGTGGTAACATGTGCCTGAGGTGGTTGTATGAAGGAATATGACTTTGCAACACTTGAATCGAGTTCTTGAGGTAGCATATAAACTTGCTTTCCTTCTACATAATGTACCTGATGACCAGTTAAGACCGTATCTTGAATGCTTGATTGGAGTAAGGGACAGTTCACTGAAGTATGAGTTGTAGTTGAAACATGTCTCCCATTTGTAGGACTACAACTTGTCATCACATGACAAGGCTGCGTTTGATCTTCCAAGGTTGTGAACTGTGAGGCAGTAGACAGTGTTAAGGGCTGTAAACAGGTACTGGTGGCACAATTAATGGTTTTTGTACATACTGTGTCTGATGACAAATTTATATTTGATGCCAGCATAGTCATTGATGCACTTGACACAGCACTATTTTCTTTAATTTCTAGCTGCATGTTCTTTGCTCCATAAGATTTACAGTGCATCTCTACAGCTGGTAAAACATGCTCAGCAACTGTCTTGGCCTTTTCTTTCAGCATTTGTATTTTCTCAAAAAGATTCTTATGACCTTGGAATAGTTTTAACAACTCCTTTTGTTGCGCAGCAAGTTCAAGCAGCTTACACTTAGTTTTGTAAGTCCTCTGTGATGAAAAGCCATCTTGGTTGGTCTTTGACTCAACAGTAAAACTTGCAATTTGATGTCTTTGTTGTTTTTGGTATCGGGTGAAGTGAGCAAGTTGAGTCTTAACTGTAGTCATCAGTTGTTTGACTTGAGCAAAGATTGAACTTTCTTTAAGTGGAGTTCCTAAAATGTTATAGATAGAACTCATATTACTCTAAAATCAACAAGTGGAATTTTCAGACCCTCCTTAACCCTTGAACCCCTAAAAGTGACTAGCATCTAATTTCTCCTTACAATATCACCCCTAAATCATGCAGTCAGATCATGAGAATAAAGAAATTATCAGTGGCTAAAGAAGCTGTTGATTGTTACACAAATTCTCCTTGTCAGCACATTAGAGAATGTATGGAGAACAGTATGGAGAAAACCTTTACTGATGTTAGGGCGTAAAGGGTTAAAAACAACGCATTTTCTCCTTTACCAAACTTCTGGCTAACATTTTTTTTCTTTTGTTTTGTTTTGTTTGATTTTATTCCTACCTCTTGCCAAGTCTGACTCGAGTGTAACCAATAACTCTGCAATTTTATCTTCGTGTTCCTTAATTGATGATAGTTTTTCCCCTGCAACTTTGTCTTTGGTTGTCGAGGAAGCCTGAGAGCTCTCCAGTTCTTCACAACCACGTGTTTTTGCAGATCCTGTCTTGTCTTTGATTGCTAGTTTCTGGACTTTTGCATCTGGAGGGAGGAACTCTGGGGAGCTAGGGGCATCCCTTGTGGTTGTAACATCAAGGTTAGCACTTTCATTCAATACGTATTTCCTGTATAAGAAAGAAAAAAGCGCAAAACTCACTTATCATCATCCGCAACTAACCTACTAAGTAACAATTTCACCTTGGTTTTGCAGCGATTATTGAAGGTGACAATTTAAACGAGCTCTGTGTTGCTGGATCGTCAATTTCCTCGCACACTGTTTCGTCGCTATCACTCATTGTCGGCAAATGTCCAACTACTGACCAACTACTTTGTTAACGAGGTACCGCATTTCAGGTAGCCGAAGTAAAAACTTACAGAAGTGCGAATGAAGGACGGATCCAATCCTCTCTCGTTCCCAGGACCTCTGTGCGGAAAAAGTTTTCAAGATGGTGGATTGATTTTCAAAGTAAAAATTCATTATCCTTTCCGATACTTGTATTACGTTTCGTACCACATATTTTAAGCCTCTTTCGTTTCGGGAAAATTAACTCATTCCGTTTTAGTAACCGGCTTAGGGTTTTCCACAAAATGACGGTATGGGCTTCGCCTTGAGCGTATCTGTTTTGATCGTAATGTATCATTTGTAACGGGAAAATCTGGAAAATTGGAGTGTAAAAATTCGAAATATTCATGAAACAAGATCAGAAAAGGATTAAAAAAAAAAGAAAAAAAAAAAGAAAAAAACTATGCCGAGACCCGGGATTATTCAGGGCTCATTCGAACCCTCCGGTTTGAACCAGGGACCTTCAGATCTTCAGTCTGACGCTCTCCCAACTGAGCTATCTCGGCATTCTTAATCAAGGAGGGTTATCTTTAGTTAAATATACATTTCTGCTTTAATCTGGTACAAGTTCTCCTGGTTCTTAGCGTTTTGGTGTTCAGTTGCCACGCACTAGGACTCTTTCCTAATAAAAAAAATGCTGCATTTTACGAACGTTTATGAAATAACTCCTCGTTTGATGAAACAGCCAGAAAGAGTGAGGACTGGGTATGGGTAACGCAAATATCACAAGCTGATGGGTTTAATGTAGTCTACCTCAGCTACAATGTAGTCGCTATTTTACAGTAATAATCATCTTTGCTTTCTCCTTAGCTATCGGGTTTTAGTGATAGAAAATTTTCTGAATTTCTTTGGAAATTGATTTGATAATTAGCATCCTCGGCATCTTATGAAGAGTAAATAATCGGCTTGGCTTCGATTGAAAATCAGATAAAAGGCTAGTTTTTTTTAGCTCGGGGCTGGTGCGTTCAATTTGTAATACAGGCGAGAAATTAGCTCCTACGCGAATCTTATAATTATCGGCTATGAATCGTTGCGCTTTATTGCCAGAGACGGATAACCAGCAACATTCTTATAATGAATCACATCTTTCCTGTTGACGAAAAAAAAGTATGAATTCAATGGAATAAACGTTTTGACGTGCGTAAACTTTGCACTCAATTTTGCGTGGTATCAGAGAAACATTTTGAAAATAACCTCAGCATATCTTCTTGGATTGTGACTTCACTTTGATTTGTTTCGTCTGGTCTGCCTTTCTTTTCCCCTCCTTTATCAAGTTTTGCTGAGGATCAAATCACTCGCGGTTTCTTAATGCTATTTTCCGAAAAATTTTGATGACCTCATTTACCAAAGCCTACGGAAACCCACTATTTACCTCCTTCACCAGAACACTTTCATGGCTTTGATAAAAAAAAAAAAAAAACAAAAAAAAAACAGTGCATCATTTTCGCAAGTTGAATGAATCGGTGAAAATCCTGTATTCGTAGCCAAATTGGTGTTGTTTTGTGCATTTCTCACGTTATGATTAGCACGTCAGCGGAAGACAATCGTTTTCCCTGTTTTTAATTTCATCTACATGTCGGCTTTTACGGAGAAAACATTGTCATAAAATTGTTTCCGACACCGGAAAATAGGCTGGTTGTGTTTAGGGTGCTAAATTACAAATAAGGGTGGTTTGGGAATTTTAAACGAGAAATAATACACTTTCCACCAAAGAGATTTCCTTTAGTAGGTCAATGGTGGTTTCCTTCCCTGTGAGTGTTTTTTACTGAATGTTGTCGCTGCATATTTTACCCGCACGACTAGTTCATGGGTTTAGGAGAAGCGGGTGTTATTGTTTTAGTCGAGCCAATGAAACAGGATTATTATAATGGTGTAATATGCTTTTGCGTAGGAGCACTCGGCTAGCGGAACCATTTTGTTTTATTTACTATAGCGAAGACATTAATGAGAAAAAAAGTGAGGTCAAGTGACATGTTTTCAAGAGGAGACACGCTCAATATCTGATGTGTATTTTGCTTCATGGGAGCTCACGACCAGTTCCATCTGACTTCTGTTTGTTCTCGTTAACATTCGAAAAGTGTGGCAAAGCATACCCAGGGAAACCTTTAGCTTGTGCTGAATCAGAGCCCCACGCTTCAATTTTTCCCTGAAAAAGTCCGACGAGGAAAAATACTTTTGTGCAATCGGGAACATTTCTCAGATTCACTTGTTTTAGCCTTTGGTGAAATTGTCATACCATTTCTATAATGGAAACCTTCTTGACTGGAGCTGGTAACAACGACGACTTGTTTTCAAACCAGAATGGGTGCTCTTACTCTAAGCTTCCGCGTTTTGTTCATGGCAAAAAAGTGAATAACAATGAGAGCTTCACCTCGGTTGAGGAAGACAGTTCAGACATTCTGGTGTCGGAAGGGGACGGCAGTGGTTCCGAAATGGACATAACCGAGGATTATCCGAGCGAAACACGAGCGATTACGAGAAAAGATTCGACATTCTGTGTTCCATTGATTCGTGTCGAAGACTGGAGCTTTTCAGAAAGTGATATGGAAGATGACTTGGAAGACTCCTTGCCACCATTTAGCTTTGTCGGAACTAAGGAAAAGGTAAAAGTTTATTCAGTTTTTATTTTTTACTTGTAAATTTCTGTTTTCGTGTTGTGAGAAGATGCAAGTAAAAAAAAATGTGAGGTTGGAAGCGGACAGAGCGTTTGTTTTAAAGGTAAACAAAAGTGTCTGAATTACACTTCGTGGTTTATGTTGAAATGACGTAAATCGTTGAGGACAATAAAGGCTTAACTTCACACGGGTTTCGTAAAGTTTGTATCACCGAAAAATAGCTTACAAAACAATTAAGCCTTAAGAACTCACTGTTGAATTCCGCTGAAAACTGTCTATATTGCACGAAACTTCGTCGCTTCAGAAAACGTCGAGAAACGAAACGTGTTTCAAAATACGCGTGAATTACACCGACCGTCGCGGATTTTTATTGAGAAAAAAGGTTCACTAGTTGAAGATTGCTAACAAGAATTGATTTGCCTCGGCGACAATAGTTTCATTGTTTTGTAGCAAAAAAAAATATACATATACATATTATTTTATTTGTCGTAATGCTCTTTAAATTCACGTGGCGTTTTTAGAAGGAAGTACAATTTCCGACCATGAAACTTGAATTTAGTTAAGTATCAAGTGACTTTTCGAGTATGGAAAATATATATTAATGTTACACACCGAAAACATTTCCGAGGAGATAGCTTTTTTGAGCCTCTTTTAGAACTAACGTCACGAGGCTGAGATTTATGAGGAAAAAGTATTTTAAGCTGCTTTAGTTTTACAAGAGAAAGTTGACCAAAATCATTTTGTTGACCTGTTTAAGTCTTTTGGCAGTTAATGATGTGCAATACGTTCAAAACAGAAAGCCCACATGCGTGAAACAATGGTATAAAGGAAAATAAACTAAAAAACAAGCCTGAAACCAAAAATACGCTAATGTACCCTTAAGCTGCAATAATGTAAAAAAAAACGAAACAAAAACAAATTGAGGTGCTGTGTTTTGAAAAAACTTAACGAAATGAGATTTAATTCCGATGATGGAGCACTTAGTGAAAACAGACATTTGTAGTACGCAAAACACAATAATCGCAGGGAAGAAATGTAACAATTTGTGAAAAAAAAAATAGGATCCACTAGACATCATTACAGTCTCAAATAAAATTCTTTGCGGTTGGTAAAAGACACAGAACAAGTACGGACAAAAGTTTCACTCGTCCGAACTGCAAAAATCGCAAATTAAATTCTAATTTTTTATGAATTATGTGTTTTCAAAAGTTTTCTACGGAAGAGTTGAAGGCCTACAAGGTATTAGGTAAAAAAATTATGCCGGGAGAAATAAACAGCAAGATGTATTTGTTATAAATTTAGTCATTCATTACGTATACCATTAATGGAAACAAATTGCGAAACGACGTAGAAAATTTTTCCAGAGTATACGATTTCAGGGGCCCATTAACGATTTCTCTCGAAAAGTAATTCTAAATTGAATGGACAACAGCGACAGATAACATTATACTAATTACATGACTAGATTTTATCAAAATGAAATTGAAAGCGCGGTTAGTGAATTTAATGTCAAAGTATGAACAAATTAGCATGAAAAAGAGAAAAGTGCAGTTGGCGATGGATTTTCACCTTTTTTTTCGCATAATTCGTTTCGATTAGATAACTTGGCAGTGAGCTTCCTTTTTGAACTTCACGAAAAAAACAACGAAGCAACTTAGTAGTGTTTTCACCTGCCTCATTCATTTTGTTTCCTAAATATAAATTTCGATCTTAAAGTAAGTGATTCTGTCCTGTTTTCCTCGCAGAGTTCTACAGAATTTGGAAAGTGTCGAAGCAGATCTCGCTCCATCTAAGGAGAAGCAGTAACCATCAACAACAGCGAGTGTTGGACTTAAAACGAACTCAATATACTACTTATGAAAACGAAATTGTTTGTTTGTATCATACAGTTCAGTAGTAATAAAAAACACTTCTTTATTGGGAATAGGGCCATGCCCTTATATTCCCTAAAAGCCTAGAACCTATCCCGTCTCAGGTAATTAAAAAAAAACTGCATTTCGTGTCGTATGGTTCAATTTGTATAACTGAACACTGGGTCGAGGGTATTGAGACGCGCAGTGGACTAGACAGGGGTCTGTTTTCAACTTCGTTTGAGAGTGCATGATTCAACAATGAAAGGGTCAACTTTTTTCTTTACCTCGCTATTGTAATCAGTACTTGTGTTCTATGATTAGTCAAACTGAATGAATATGTTCCATTTTATTCTAAATTAATCTAACACAGTAGTTTATAGAGAGAGTCAGTTTAAATAACTAATATCTCTTTTTCGGCTAAGAGATAAAATAGCTTAACATACCAGCTGAAACAAAACAACAGAAAATGTTTTCTTAGAGGGAAACATCTGGTCACTTAAAACGTTGTCTATCTCGCACAGGTTATTGCTTAAAACATTCTAGGAATTTTAGACATTTTGCATGTGCATGGTACAACTGTGCAACTTATAATGGAATTAAAATAAATAATATACTGCTTCAGTGTGTCTTAAATTACGAAAAAAAATACCTAAGATGGCAAATACTACAATGAAAGAAAAAGTAAGATCTTTCAATGGACAAGACTTCGGTATCGTACATTTTGATCTAAAGAGCTATCACATGAGTTTTTTCTGAAGATGACGACTTTTTGAAGCAGCCATACGTTTAGTGTTCAAACTAAAATCAGAACAAACGGTGTTAAGCGAAAGTGAACATATTCCCATTTGCGCTGATCATAAACGAAAACTATTGAACCAAGTCTTAAATCGAAATTGCTTGTAGTGAAATAGGATAAAGACTGCCACAGTGTGTGTAATGTCAGAATTTGTCAAACAGTTACGTTTTCATTTAGTTGAAAAAATTTTGTGACTATTCCTCTTAACTCTTTAGATCAACCCTTGCGCAATTAATCACTTGTTCACACTTAATGTCAGAATTTTCACTGAAGTATACTAACGACTGAAAGGAGACAAAACGAATTCCAACTTCATCCTATCGACGTTTTTGTAAATATCATACTCAGCTTACATCACCAAACCCATTACTATGTTCACTTGTTCCTTTATAGCGTTATATCGTGAAATATTATTGCGGCAGCATGTGAAAACTTAGAATATATACAAAGCTAAGAAACTATTGTGCATTAATTTTCTTTTTGCAGCGAAATGAAAATTCCTTGTGTAGGAAAATACTTTTATAACCGTTCCGTTTACAGTAAACGCATATGAACCCTTCAGCTTCCGAAACGATTAACACGTAACTTCTCCCTACATATTATCCTTACGTTATCAAGCAAATAGGTAATGAGAATAATCAAACTTATCAGGCTGAAGTTATTTTCTAGATCTAACACCAAATTCTTGTAACTTATTAACAGGAAAATGTATAACAGCTAGAGAGGAGAATTAACAGTAAGATCTTGGGATTTAAAGGGTTAAGCTCGGCTACTCAAACATCTCACGCTTAATGATCCTTCAGCTCATTCAGTAAAACTGTTTACTTCCTGAAAGCCCACCGCTCCGATTTTTTATAATTAAAACCTGGCTACCTCGTCAGGTAAACGATAAACTTGAAAGCTTTTGTGAAAAGGGCTGGATTAAGATAATACTCACTTGTCAGACTAATGAAAAATAAGGAAGTATATTTGCATAACATTTAAATGCTGCAATTGACCTCAAAGGCTCGTGCAAATTAGTTTGGGCCATTGTTGTTTTAGTGTACGTTTAATAAACACGCAAGAAGTAATCATGTTTCCTTAGGGTACATCAATCGAAGAAGAAGGAAAAGGATAGTTGGAGGGAAAGACAATTCACTTGGATAACCCAATACGAAGTTGTGAGGAGCTTAATTTTAACGGACCTTGCATAATGAAGGAAATTAGAATGAAGCATTTAAATGATTTCGGCGGCTTTGTCGATCCCAGGTGTGTGTACAAGTTTGACTGCTAAGTGATATCTGTTTGTTGATGCTATCTCTGGCATAGTTCTGAAACAGGAAGACTTGACACTTAAAACGTTTCTGCTCTTTGGATTGACGGAAATTGCACTGGAAGGCAAAAGAAATCGAACTTTTTTGTTCTTCAAGTAAGGATCGTTTTCATAACTAGCGCGTCTACAAAGTTTAAAATAACCAAATGTATTTGCCAACTAGAATCTTAAGCTACCTTTTAATGAAAATAACGGAGATTTATCAACAACTGATTTAGCAAAGTGTATTACTTTTTGTGACCAGAGGCATCAAGTCACTAACAAAAAAGTATAGACTGACATACGAAGCTCTTCAATTATTCTAACGACTTACTCTTTCCAACAAGTCTACATTTCAAATTTAATACTCTTCGACGTCGATATTGTAGATCGAGGAAGGTGAAAACCTAAGCGGTTGTGGTCTCAAGTTTGTCTGATTGTTGAGGAGTCGGAAAAGTATTATCAAAGGAGCCGAAGATGTTAAAACGAGTTAGGAAGCGATCTAGTAAACATCAGGTAAACATGTCATTGTTTAAGATTCCATCAATAGATAACTCTAGATTTCTTCGAATACTTTCAAGTTCGAAGATTCTTAAAGTCCAATTCTCTCTTATGAACTATAGTCGGCGTATGGAAATGACAATTTTCCTTAAAAAGAGAGAGTTATTGTAAACCAATAATAATATAAATTTGGGATGTTTTCTGTATCGATGGGCTGACAGACTGCGGGCGGAAAAAAGTCAAACTCACGCTACATCGACAAAATTAACTCCGGGCTTCTGCTCCAGCATCATGAGGGTTTAAATTCTAAATAATCCACAGTCGGCTTATTGAGGAAAACTTTAACAAGAAGGGTGCACATAGAAGGAGCGCCAAACACTGAAACCGAAGTCCAATTAGCATCTGATAGATAATATTGGTAATACTTAGAAACCATTATCATTTGTCCAAGTATACAAAACAGTCGTCGCACTGACGCTGATTTTAAGTTCAACCATATAACTAGCATTAATGAGTTCAAACCTTACACAAGAAGGCAGCTTATTTGAACAAAGAATTAATGAACAGAGCGAAGGACTAACGCGCTAAACGTCAGCTCTAGAAACCTTTCACGGTGGCCAATTTACATTATCAACTGAGTCGATAAAACCAAGTTACATTATAGTATCCCCCCCTACACA